TTCTTTCTGTTTCACTCCCAGCACGGCAGTGCACAGCACAACAAAATTTGTCCTTCATACACTGCAGTAAATCAAAGTGTTGTGCTGTGAGAAAGGTTCCTTCCTGATATTTAAGGCCCCTTCCAACCCACACCTTTCTATGATTTTTGTGACAAACCCTCCAGAGATTTTTTTGCCGTGGTGGGTAACTCAAGGTTTGAGCAGCTGTTCTTGATCACTTCATGTTGCTCTTCTGACTTGTGGAAGATACAAAAAATACTTTTAAAACAAATCCATGGCTCCTCTGTCTGGTAAAGGTCAGCTAAAATCAACTGTGCTCTATTTTAGCTGGAATTCATTGCTCCTTTTCCTCTAAAAAGGCAATTCATTGGCTTTTCTGAAGAAGTTCAATAATCTTTTCAGTACTCAGATAATCTGCACATAATCCACTAAAGTTTGTTTCTAAGGGAACATAATTCATGAAAAAAAGTAAAAAGACAATGCAAACAAGCTTGACTGTACTGAACACTTGAAGGTGTATGAACAGAAAGAAAATTAGTACAAATTACTGAAGGCATCTCTCTTGTAAGTTGGGATTCCATCTTGAAACTCTTCCATCTCCTTGCATCCTTTCTCAATCTAGATTGTACTGTACTTCTCACAAAACATTCCTGGACTGATAAAGCCACAAAGGACAATGGCTGCTTCTGTCTTTCTTGTCCTACTGATTCTCCACCTCTTCATTGCTCAGATAGATTCTCAGAAATTATGAAGAGATGTTTTCTGATCTGCTCTCAACAAAACACTAAGGATATATGTTTACAACCCCTATTTTCACCAGATGCAGGTGTAGCCCTCACAGCGAAGTGCTGCTGCACAGAGCAGGAAACAACATTTGACTGAAGCCTTATTGGCTCAATCCATTTGAGTCCAGCCACACTTTGATGCTGCTCATGCTTCCTTTTTCACAGTTCAACTGATATTATTCATAGGAGATTGAAAGGGTAGGTCGGATTGCAGCCTGGGGTATGACATAGCTCATCAAGCAGATATTGGGCTGAACTTCTGGTCCACTAATGTGTAGTTTCTGGATTCTAGGAAAAGGCTATGATAACTCAATTGCCAACTTCCACGCTCTGATGTTGTTCTGATTATTAAAACTTTCTGCAACCAACTAGGAGTTAGGAGAATGCCTTATCATGTTCATGTTTTGACCTTTCAAGTGTTGCTGCTGTAGAACCAAAAAAGAATCAAATGTTTCTCATCTAAAAGAATAGGATTGGGAAGAAACAAGAAAGAGAATAAAAAATTGAAAGGTCAGGAGGTGCAGGTCTATTCTTCCCATGAGGATGACCTTGTCTTCACACCTGACCCCATATCCTTTCTCTGTCCCATCTTGCTCCATCGCTATCCTTTATCCTTAATCCTCACCCTGCTGTGTTATAAGAATCTATTTGAACACAAGAACTGGACACTGAATAGAAATGCCAAGAAAGATAAATGTTACAGGGGCTGCATATTTGCTTGAACTACCTTCTCTCTCTTCATGGATCTGTAGTTAGTGGGAAACTTCGTAGAGCTCTGTTGCATTTCTCTGGAAGCAATAGTATGAATCAGGCAGTTTTCCTTGCCAAGATTGAGGAGGCATTTGAAGGCTGGTTTCCTGTGTGAGTTATTGGCATGTGACCATGCCATGGTAAAAAATTACTCCCAAAATTAAACAAATGAGCAACAGCTGTTGGCTTAACTGCTATATATTTTACCACCTACCTGATGGATGCTTCACTCTGGAAGAAGTATGGACATGTCTGTGCCTGCAGGGATGCAGCCTTGGGAGATGTTGCAGCAGAGCTGCCAGCCTCTGTGATGCAAAGAGTAGACTTGACAGTGAGGTTCCATGCCTGACAACAGCCTTCCCCACACATTCACCAGGGCCCATCTGGCAGCCAAAATCACAGAATCACAGAATCATGATCATGGTGTGGCCTGGGTTGGAAAGTGACCTTAAGGATCATTTAGTTACAACTCCTCTGCCATGGACAGGGGTATCTTTCACTAAACCAAGTTGCTCAGAGCTCCATCCACACTATCTTTAAACACTTCCAGTGATAGAAAATTCACAACTTCCCTGGATGACCTCTTCCAGTGCCTCACCACCATCACAGTAATTGATTTCTTCCTAATATCTAATCCACACTTGCTCTCCTTCCTTAAAAGCCGTTGACCTTCGTCCTGTTACTACATGCTCTAGAAAAAGTCCCTCTTCATCTTTCTTGTTGGCTCCTTTCAGGTACTGGATGGCTGCAATGAGGTCACCACGAAGCCTTTTCTTCTCAAAGCTGAACAATTACAATTCTCTCAGCCTTTTGTCATAGGAGAGGTGTTCCATCCCTTTAGATTCACTCCAACAGGTCCATGTCCTTCCTGTTCTGGGGACCCCAGATCTGGATGCAGCACTGCAGGTGGGGTCTCACCAGAGAGAGACAGAGCAACACAATCCCTTCCTCACCCTGCTGGCCACAGGGCCTTGGATGCAGCCCAGGATGTGTTTGGCTTTCTGGGCTTTCAGAAAGCTCGGTGCTCACAGTACACACTGCCAACCAACCTCTCATCCAGCAGCACCCCTAAGTTCTTCTCCCCAGGGCTGTCCTTGATCTGTTCATCCCCCAGTCTGTGCTGATACCAGGGGTAGCCCTGACCCAGGTGCAGTAGCTTGCACTTGATCTTGTTAAACCACATGAAATTCTCATGGGCCCACTTCTCCAGCCTGTCCAGGTGCCTCAGAATGGCATCCCATCCTTCAGGTGTGAAGATGTCATCCACACCACTCAGATTGGTGTAACCTGTGAATTTGCTGAGCATGCACTCAATCCCTTTATCTGTGTCATTAATGAACACTAAAAAAAAATAAATAAATAAAAGAAAAAAAAGAAAAAAAAGAAATTAAGGCCAACCGCATCCTGGACTGCAGTACCAAAGGCATAGGCAGATCGTACCACTCTCTACTCCTACTTCGTGAGAGGCAGCAGAAAAATAAGGATGTGGTTGGTTCTCAGACGTGAATAACTATGGCACAAGATACAATGGATATAAGCTGCACACATGGTAAATTCCAGTTAGATGTTAAGGAGAAGATGTACAGTATGAAGGCAGTTAAACTTCGGGACTAGGACCTGCAGATAATGTGACCTCAATTTTTTGAGATACTCAGACTCCACTGGACCAGGCCTGATGAGCCCCCTGATGTAAGCCGGCCCTGTTTTGAGTGATTGTTTAAAACAGATGACCTCCAGAAGTCCATATCTTGTATCCTGGGACTGTGCAAATAGGTCAATCTTTTTAAAAAAATGGCTAAATCTACATTCCCAGGGAAAGTACAAATTTATTTCTCAAAGGATCAAAATCAAATGCTCAATATAACTGCTGAAGGTGAGCAGCTTCTGAAAAACCTATAGCTGCTTTTGACTTGAGACAAGAGTTACCAGGTTTCACAAGTCAATAGGAGATTTTTTTTTGGAAGCCTTCCTTCCTGCTCCTGAAAGGCCAAATACAGCCTATAGGTTAATGCATGAGACACATTAGGTGAAGAGTAGTCTGATTCTGATTGAGTAGCAGGCTTGCTAAGTAACTTTGAATGAATTGTCTGAAGCCTTTCATGCCTTTTATAGTGCGTAATATAGGACTAGTAGGCTATTACAAAGATGAGACAAATTCAACGGTTTTTAATTTTGGCATTTGGGTGCCATGGAAAGTATTGCTATGCTTCTTGTTTGATGAAAAGTATTACTATGTCTTTTTTACATTGAATTGGCTGTGAGTTTTCGACTGCAGATCACTAAAACCTTACAAGAGTATTTCTAAGATTAACAGGTCTTTGGAAAAACAGAGTCCTTATTAAACCTTGAAAAGAGCATTAGACATTTCTAGGGAAAGTTTTCTATTTTCTCTAACTATTGCTTTTTATCTTGAGGAATCTTAACATGGGGATAGGACAGAACATTTAATGAGCTTTTGGATTTAAAAGTCCCCAAGCATATGCCCTTAATTTGGAAGAAAGGGAACGTCCTTATTCTGAACAGTTTTATTATTCATACCAAAGCTCCTGGGAATGCAGCATCAAGATTTTAAAATATGGGTCTGTCCTACTCTGCTACTTGTTGCATTGCCAGGTTTTTGTAGGTGTTCTGAAATACCACTGATAGAGAATGACTCTTTGAAATTAAATGGGGTCAAGGATTAGTGGCAGCTTTGCGTGTATCTGTGTCGCTCTGACAGATTTCTGGTAGCAGATGCATAAAATGGATACAATTAAGAATAGAGACAACAGTGTATTATAAAGAAGATCTCATAGCAAGCTCCCCCCATAATTTTCTTCTATTCTAATGCCTCATTCTCTGATTTTTAACAAGTTTGAGTCAATACATTTTAATTATAAAAAAAACTGCGGTATGAAAACAGCATATGCAGAGTGGATGGTCACATCTCTCTGGAAGACTGCTGTTTGATAACGAGACAGAAACACTTCAGGAGTACCAGAAAGTTTTCAGCCTTGCAGGCTGCCCAGCTTCAGGGTTGTTACAGATATTTTACGCATGTACAGGGAGGAAAGCTCCCTCAAAGGCTCTCAGATCACCTCTTGGGTATTTTCTGGAAACTGAGCAAATCCTCTTGAGAGGCTGAGTGGCCTTCGTACCACAGGAGGGCAATACCCAGGTCTATACAAAGCCACAAACAGATGTTCCCATATGTTATTTTCACTTTCAGTCCAATTAGCCCTCTTCCTTTCACCACTTGCAAGAAAATACATTTTGCAATAACTGAAAATATTTAACAAGTCTTAAGCAGAACAAGAATAAATTAAACCCCAAAACACATCTTTATCAATGAACTTGATGAGTGAGATGGTGACAACTGGTCCAATCATGCCTGTCTGCTGTTTGTGGTTTACAAGCAATGGGTGGCACTTCAGGAAGCAGACAGAGCTGGGCTGCAGTAGCAGTTCCTCATCAGCACTTCTCTGTGAAGTCCAGGAGTCACACGGAGTGAGGCGACTGTCCTGCTATGCTGCTGCACAGTGGTTGGGTAAGTGCTGCCAAGGTACTCAACAGAGGTACTGAGGTACTGGGGACAGACCAGGAGGAGGGAAATATTACTAAACTCAAAAGAGGAGGCTGCAGATCTGGATGGAGCTTAACAGTTCTTGGTGGGAGGTAAGATTACAGCAGAGCTGGGGGGAAACATGACAGGAGAAAAGTCAAAAGTACTTTGGGTTCTTAGTCCGCTGCAGCAGTTGTGAATGTCACATTTTATGAAATCAGTGGAAGTAAAGTAGAAGTGTATTTTGGGAATCAGCATTGCAGAAAGGGCTGCTGGTCTCCTTTTACAACAGCATCCACACTTTCATAATGCTGTCTGAAATTCATTAAAAGACAAGAAGAAACTGTTATTGGTTTTGCCAATCAATTTTTTATAAAATTATAAGAAGAAAATTTCTGTAATGATTCTACTGGCTTTCTCAAAGGCCCCAGTACTCTTTCATGATGAGTAAATTTTTCAGAATCAGTTCAGATGTTGATCATCTCAAGTCTTCCTTGTAAAAGGTTGCCAGATCTGCCTCCACTGGCACTTTTAAACACTGTCCCCGATGCTCTCAGGCACTCACACAGCTCAGCAATGAAATAAACCTCACCGTGGGCCGCATCAGCAAAAGCCCAGCCAGCAGGTCAAGGACTACAGCTGTCAAGTCAAGGGTGTGATTATTCCACTCCATTTGCTACCTGTTAGCCCACACCTGGGATGTTGTGTCCAGATTCTGTCTTGCTTGTCCAAGACAGACACTGAAATGTTGAGAGTAGCATGATTTCCCCTGCTGGAAATATTCAAGGCTCAGTTTGATGGGACCCTGGATACCTCAGTCTGTATTCCTGCTTTCAACAGGAGGTTTGACAGTAACATCTCCCGAGATCCCTGCCAACCTGGATGCTTTTAAGATTCAACAGCCACAATCTACACAGCCTTGCATATGCCCATTGCTTTCTGCAAAGTCATGCAGAGGTACCAAAACTACCTCTGGAGGAGCTAATCAAAGTGCTGAAGCCTCTAAGCCTGGAAAAAAAATAAATTTGTGATAAATTTGGTGAGGGAGTGTCACTCCAACACAGATTTATCACCAACTACCTATTTAAAACTAGCTTAGATATTTCTACACAGCCCTGTATTCCGAACTGCACACCTACCTCAGGCTCACAGGGCAACGTGCATATCTTCTTTATCCAGTGCCATATAGAAAGACTCCACAAATTCTATAGTTTTACCCCTAAAAGCACAGTGTGCAGGCTGCTTCTGAATACAGTCCAGGAAAAAAATACTTTGGAAAAAGCATAACAAATATAATGCTAGAACCTCTTGCAAGTTTTAATGAACTTCTTCCTAACCTAGAAGAGATCTCTGTCACGCAGCTGAAATTAAGTTCATGTGAGGATAATCTTAGGTGTGGGAATGGAATGAGGTCTGACGCCCACTAATGTGGATAGAGGAAACAATCTGAAAATTAAGTGGAGATAGATTTTGGTACAGAATTCATTATTTTATTGTCAGCTCACTGAACAGAGTGAAATCTTTCCTCTCAAGTGAAAATAAGGGGAAAATTAGAGACATAAGGAAAACCTGGAGTGGATACAAAACAGGCATTGCTTTATCATTACTCACTGTGCTGGAGGTACTCAGTAGTAAACAGTCAGGTCTCTCACCATGAGGGCAGTAGAAACCATTGAATCACTTTCACTGACGATCCTCACTTGATGGTGCAGAGAGAAAAAGGCAGCCATGGCAATCACTACTTCTCATTTTCATCTCAGTTGCCCAATTAAACACATTAACTGCGTGCTTTATTTTCTTAAACTCCCCAAATCCTTACCATTAATGATATCAACAGGAAAGCTGTTTTGGGGAAATCTTTTCTGTGAAGATGTGTTTGAATTAGTGCCTAATGTGCTAACTCCAGAAGGAATGGGGCTAAAGAGGAATGGTTGGCCAATAGATTGGCTGCTATGGCCAATCGGACCGACCCTGTTGAGCAGCTAAAGGTTAGGTCACTGCCCTACTCTGGCTATTTTGCTTTGGATCAGAGCTCAGATCTGCACAGGTGGGTGCCAGGCACCCCACAAAGCCTCTCCCTCCCCATCACTCCCTCCACAACTGAACACGGGAGGGAAAGTATAAAAAAATGTTTCATGGGATGAGATAAGGACCAGGAGAGATGACTCACCAAATACAGTCATGAGTAAAGCAGACTCAACTTGGGGATATTAACTGAACTTATTGCTAATAAAATCAGAGCAGGATAATGAGAAATAAGAGCAGACCTTAAAAACAACTCCCCTTCCACCCCTCCCTCCTTCTCAGCGCTACTTCTTCTCCCCCCTTCAGTGGCACAGGGAGACAAGAAATGGGGGTATTGTTTCTTCCCATGTTGCAACACGGGCTCTCTTCCCTTTGAGACAGTACTTAGTACAGTATAATGGATTTCTCTGTTATGAATCCATCACACAGACAGCAGTTCTTCACAAACTATTGCAACGTAGGTGATTCTTCCCTGATGTGCAGTCCTTCAAGGACAGGCTGCTCCAGGCTGGGTTCCCCATAGGATCACAAGTCCTAGAAGGAATCCTGCTCCAGCATGAGCTCCTCTCTCCATGGTTCTGCAGCCAGGAGCCTGTTCCAGCACAGACCTCGCACTGGTTCAGGGCCTCTTTTGGGCATTGATCTGCTTCAGCATGGGTCTCCTCCATGGGCTGCAGGTCGAGCTCTGCATCCCCATGATCCTCCGTTGGCTATAGGGGCACCGCTGCCTTGCCATGGTGTTCACCATGGGCTGCAGTGCCTGCAGGACCTTCTCCCCCTCCTTCTCCACTGCTCTGGTGTCTGCAGAGCTCCTCTTCTCAAATATTCTCACCTCACTCTTCTCTGGCTGCAATTACAACTGTGTAGTAACCTTTTCTTCTCTTCTTCTTCAATATGTTATCGCCGAGGCTCTATTGTCTGGGCAGATTGGCCCAGTCTTGGCACATGTGTCCTGGAGCCAGCTGGCATTGGCTCTGATGGACATGGAGGAAACTTCTGGCAGTGTCTCACAGAAGCCATCCCTGTAGCCTCCCCTGCTACCAAAACCTGGGCACACACACCCAACACAACACGGTATCTCCTACACAATTCATTTTGTACCAGCTTGCCTGGATGCTTTTTGGGTCATTTCTCCACCAAGCCTCATTCACTCCATGTGGATTTTATGCCGGTTTTTTTACCTGTACTTCTGTCATGGAAGGCTCATAGTATAGTTCAGGACTGTCCTGTCAGTCTGTCTTCAGCTAAGTGTTCACCAGAGCCACGGTGAATAATGACATAAAATATTTGGTATGATTTGCAGTGATAAAGAAGATGTACAGAACATTAGAGAGACTGGATGAAATGAAAAGAAGGAAGTTAGAAAGGGAAGTTATTTCATAACTGATTGTTTTCAGTTCTGTTTTTCTACAGAGAGGTCTAAAGATCAGCCAAGTACAGGGACCCAGTGCAACACCACAGCACAGAGCACTCCAAAATGGAATAAGTATGTTTGGACTGGCAAAACAGCATTATGGCCACAAGCAGCATGGCCAAACATTTTCTGTGGACTCCTGTGTCAAAGAAATGGGAGAAGCTAGGAGAAAGCATATTAGGACAATGGTGGGATTCATAGGGCAGATGTGGGTGTTCTTCCACAGCCTAGAACAGGAACACTTACCATAAGTGCTTCTACACCTATGGCTGGGCTCTCTAACTGCCTTCTTAAATATTTCAGCTGAACTTCAAATAGGCAAAAGTTTTAAAAAATGTGTAAGTAAGAGCTTGTTGACAACACAATTGGCTTCACACTTCAGCAAAAGAACTGAAGATCTTTCTTTAACACAATTGCTCATCATTTGCTAAGACTTGAAACCTCCAGGTTTAACAGCAAAATGAACCATTTCAGCCCAAACTATGTGGTGTAATAGACCCTTATGTGCACAGAGCACCTCACTTTAATATGCAGTGTGTAGCTACGCTGATCAAGGAAAGCTCTTGAAAACCAGCATGCTTTGAGAATGCAGTGTGGAAAATTCCCTTGCAGTAAATTCCTCCTTTCCAAAATGACAAGAGGAACCTGAGGTCCTCTCTAACCTAACTGTAGTAGAAAAGTCATGTATTAATTGTGTTTGTGCTAAGGTAGGAAATCATCTTTGTTGTCAATCAGACAGGGCTGGCAACAAGCTTTGCTTTCTATACTGCTTCTGGGTAAACCCTCTCAGACTAATGCAGAGAGGTTTGTTCCTCTGCTGACACAGACAACACATTTTAGCATACTAAGTGTCATAAATATCTGCATGTGTATATTCAGCATGAAATGATCTTTAGTAAAATGATCTTTTCCGTGCACCTGATGATAGAGTTTGCATTACCTCTGCAGCCAGCAGCTGCAGGTCTGATTTGTCTGCAGCCAGAAATCAGATGAAGTAAGCAACCTGGGAATAAAGCAGTATTAGTAGTTACAGTAAACACTTTGAGGATGAGCAGCGATAGACTTGGGCTCAAATCCTTTTATAAAATATCTTCTTCCTTACAACATGCTGCCTACCCCAGCAGGCAATTAGTGAGGCTAGTACCAAGTTCAAACAAATTTTAGGATGAGCACTGTCATTTCAAGGTGAAGGGAAGAATTTTTTCTTCTTGGCAGGGTATACAAGCTTATAGAATCGGAATGGTGCTGCATATATGATTTCTTTCTCTGCAGTCAAATGTCATCTTTATGGTAGGAGTGATACGTCTCCTTGTCAATCAGTTTCCCCTCCCATTTTTTTTCACCCTAATGAGAACAAGCTTCCATAATGAGTGAATTGCTGTGCTGGATTCCTGATGAGAGGCACATCACCTGAAAAACCCACTGGCTTGCAGCAGATACAAACTAGTAAAATCCTTCAAAAAAGGGTAATATCTAAGTTAGTGATAGACTGCTAGAAATGTGCAGCTGTTAAATATAAGTAAGACACCATCTCAAAAAGTCCATTTAGTCTGGAGATTGAACTGATACCTTCTGTACTCAATCCTGATTCCTCCTCCTGCCCTTGGTGACAAACACAGAGGCCAAAGCATAGTGCAGTAGAAAAGACAAGAAGGTTTGGGGAAAGTTGGGCAAATTACTGGTGTTATTAGTATTAGAACAGTTGGTTTCTACATCTGGGGTCCCTCCCTCACTATCAAAGAAGAAATACTGCAGACTTTGATGTGGATTTAGGTTTTGGTTTGTTTTCAGTACTTTTCTGAAAGATCTGGATTCTGGCTAAGACCTGAACAGAAATTTGAGGGTGTTTTATTGATATGCTATACTTCAACAGGGTACAATTTTGTTATCTCCATAGAAGGGAAAGGTAGTGAGACAGACTGAAGGGGAAGCAGCCTTTTCTCCATACCACTTTCCCTCAGGTACATTTAAGCAAATTTGAGTAACAATGCCCAGGGATAGCAACTTGCAAAGTGGGTGGTTTTTTCCCTTAAATCAGGAAAAGAAACTAGGAAGAGGCCACCAGATATCTTTTCAGAGGAGATTGAATTTATGTCTCTGCTATGCAAAAGTGTGTGAACCAAGGAATTGCAACTCACATTTTACTCGCTGTACTTTTCCAAAATGTTCTTTCTGATGTGTCACATGCAGTATTTCTCACTCATAGGACACCTTGCACTGCCCGGGTGACAGCCACAAATCACAACTGATCCAGAACCCAAACAGAGACATTTTAAGAAACCTATTATCTACAAAATGTTTTTGGCTGATATAGACACAATGTTTTTTCCTTCTGTAGATAATTAATATCTTTCTATTCAGGTGCTTGAAATAGTAAGGCACACCAAAAATATGAGTCAAAAGTAGGATTTTGTTGAAAACAGACAGAAGTTATTCTAATTACCTAGTGCCTTTCAGTTCCTCATACTAGTAGCTGATCTTTTACTTCATAATAAACTGTAAATAACCTGTCATGACTACAAATTAATAACTCATCAGTCTTATCTACAAGGCCCAGACCCACGGCCAGCACTAGGAGGGACTCTGAGCAGATCTGGACTTTTTGTAAGGAGCACAAATTATTACGAATAATACCCTTCCTGGTTCTACATTATCCACATCTGTTCATGTTTATCAGGACTGTCACTCAAGCTTTACCCACAACTAAGAGTCAAGGTACCCACAGTGAATTTAAGGTGTCCAGGTGGATCTTATTTTTACTTTCTGCCACTTACATAAGTGAAGGAGAAGTATATTTTTCTAGAAGACCCAACCACCATGCTTGCATAGCTCCTGCCACCCCCTGTAGTCCCCTCCTGAATTGGCACTCCAAATCCTTGAGTTCTGGCACAAAGAATGTAGACAAACAAAACACCTGAGTTGCCATGGTTATTCTGGGTACAACTCTAAGTTTGGAGCAGCTGAGAAATCACTAACAACCTGTATTATGCCTGAACATAAAGGGCATGGTTCTCTTTCCTCAAGGAATTTCCACACAAACCAGAGCAGAGGCACCTTGATGCTAATCAGTATCAGGACAAGTAGTCCTTGAAATCTGGCCCAGACTCTCATCTATTATTAAAAAACCTTGGCCCATGAAACTGTTGCTGTAATGCAGACTCAAACCAGGTGATGGTCAAATTCAGGTGACACAATGGTGATGTGAAAACACACTATCACACTTGTAGATTTCTACGGTATTGCTAAAACTACCAGCAATTGCTCAAAATTTGTAAAATACATGCATTTCGAGTATCTGTGTTGAAAGCTGGCATTGCTCTAAAGTAATCACATTCTGCTACCTGCTCTGTACATTACAGATGAAAATCTAAACATACCAGTCTGAAATCTATTATACATGCTGTTGGTAAATCCTGGGCAAAATTGCATAAATTTAGCAGGGAAAATGAATTACAACGATGTACATTAAGCATTCAATACCTATCTAGATCTTGATGCTAACTACAAATTAGAGACCAACAAAGGTAATGAGGGTGTCTGTCCCGGAGCATACTCTGGTATTTCACTATTTGGTTTAATCCTGGATTAAAGGATTGAAGATTTGCCAACTGCAAGCATATGGAAAGAAATCAACCTGAAAAACTCTTATTTGTTTTGACTGCTTGAGGAAACAACATTGTTATTTATCAACAAAATTACATAATTTGCACATTATGTAATTATTATATTGCATCAGGAATATATATCAGTATTTAACATTAAAACATATTATTTATGCTTTAACTTGTGTTTATCTATGTATTAACTTATTGTATGCATCAAAAATACTGTATAATTAAAAAACCCACATACAGATGTTACCTGAAGGTCTTAAAGGCACCTTAGCTTTCTTTCCACTGGGATATATTCATTCCAGAACAAGACCTAGAAAAAGTCAATACAGGTTCTGATTAAAGGATATCTTAGCTCTAGTTCTGGCTTTGCCACAGAGTTCAGCTTTTTAGCTCTATGGCTTCCAACAGAGCTTTGAGACCAGCTTGCAGAAAGGTACTGAAGAAAAGCTAAGCATCACTATTATGGTTACCTTTTAATATTATCTAATGGTTCTTTAGCTGTCAGCCACTGTTAAAATAGCAAAATGCAAAAATCTCCATCTCATACCATGATGTGTTGTGAAGTAGCACAGAACAGCACTTCCCTCGTGCTTTTTTCAACCAAATGTGAAGCAACAGGATGTAGTCAGTTAAAATGTTCTCATGTAAGATTACATGTAAAAATTGCAGGTCTATATTGATGCTTTCAAAACTATGATACTCAAATATAACTGTGCCTCCTTACAGAAACATGTTGAGCCTGCAGGAGGGCAAAACTGACCTTGCACAGACTATTCACAGAAACTCAGTCCCACAGTAACTTATCTTTTACCACACATACACCTCACAGCAGCCATCACTGCTCAATGAGCCTTTGACACTGACATGGCCAATCACTTTTTAATTAAATTTCCTAGTTTCCTTCTGCTAGAACTGTACAGTTGTAGTGATGGCACCATGTCCCAAGATCCAGATACTGAGCTAAAATCTTGGCAGAAAGCAGAGCTGAGAAATGGTCCTGGGCTGTAGAGTGAGCTTTATTTCATCCCTTACATTTTGGTGTCTCTGACCACATCCAAACGCACACTTAATTACAGTCTAGGTCTTATTTTGCTCGTCCTGCCCTGTTTTCTCAAAACATTCTTTTAAATCTTCTACCCCGCCCCCCACTCAAGGGATAGATTTCCAAAGATGTGTCTTTTTGAACTGTGAAGCTCACTTCTGTGTGTATAATTTATTATTTTAGGCAGTAGTAGAATGTAAAGTTCAGATGTGGGAGGCTTTGAAGATGTCTAACGACAAAGAAATAGTTGCAAGGTAAGGGATGCTGTGATGCAACTAAAAATCTTCCCAAGGTGGTTTGCTCATGGGCCGCCCTACCCTCACATAGCAGAGCCTCAGCATTACTGTTTTGTCATAATCTCTGGTCTTTTGCTTCTTGTTCTTAGAGCTTCCATAAAATGAAGATCCAAGTAAACAACACATGAAGAGAGGAGAGGAACTCTAATCTGTAAGTATGCACAGAATGAAAAATAAGCCTTGGTTTGAAACGCTTTTAAAGGAATGTTTGCAATGTTGGAGGTGGGGGGGAAGGGAAGCATTCAATTGTCTGTTTGTTTTATTTTTAACACATTTCAAAGCTTTTCTCATTGCGTTTTGTAATTTCCTACTAAAGGACAGCATTGCTGTCTTTTCCATATTTCTACCCTGTAGTTTTACAGTGCCTTTTAAAATTGGGAAGCAGTGCTTTTTGTTCTCATCCATCTTGGTGTGCATGTTTGATATCACCTGATCTCTGAAAGGACCAGAAGACAGAGCTAAGGAAGTAAATAATGATTTTTAGGAACACTTCATGTCTTCCATTTTTTTTTGTGCAAAAATAGTGACAATCTCAAATGAAGGAGGACTAACTCAACATGCTTTTCCATCCCATTTGTTCTTCAATGATGTGAGTTGAAACCACAAAGTATCAGTGTAATGTTGACACAGCCTGCAAGACATGAGCAGATGAGCTGCCGAATGAGTTAGAGGAATCACAAGAAGTAGTTTGATAAAAAGTCGATGTCTAAATGTAAAAATACACATTTAATATTATTTTATTTGTAATGTTTTCCATTAAGTATGTTCTTATACTTTAGACTTCAGGTGTGTTTGGTTATTTTGAAATTAAAGGAATTCTGCAATTATTCTGGTGGCATAGCCTACATTTCCATAACACAGCATGGAATTAGAACAAAATGAAATGCAATTACAATGCCCTCAAAAGAAAACATTTTGGAGACTAAACAAGGATGTCTGTGAAACAAATGAAGATTTTAAACAGATTTGTGTTAAAAAATATTTGTGTTTTGCACTCCCTCCAGTCTAGTCTGGTTCAGTGCAGAAATGTCAATTCTGACAAATATTCATTTTTTAATTTATTAAGTCTGTCAAAAATAGAAATCTTTCATTTGAACAGAACTTTTTCTCCTCCAAATTCAAATGAAACTTCTCAGTTGGGTGCACGCAGGCAGCAAATTCTTCTCCTGCAGAACCCGACTGTCAGAACACATGAAAATCTGCGTGAAGCCTGCCAGTCTCTCAGCAGACATGTACGGGGGGGATAAATTTTGCAAACACTTGTTATACAGAGTAGAGCTCACTGTTTGACAGAGATTGTAAGAGTGTCATCATTTCTGACAAATGAGGTGGGTTTTTTAATAAGTTGATATAATGTTGATGTAACATAATGGTGACTCATGGGCCTGCTTGGGAAAATAGCATGCAGTGAAGGGAACAAGCCAGTGACAGGCTCATCTGGATTGCTAAATCAGGCACAAACTAGGAATAAGCATTTTACCCTGCCAAATGTGAAGTTGTTCATCAAGAAACAAGTAGGAGCATAATGGCAGTTCACCGAGAAGCCACAGGTATGGCTGGGATCAAGGGTGAATAAATATCTTCCCTCTCATATCAGGTATCTACAGGGGAAGTCAAAATTTGACAAAAGGTTTTTTAAACATGAAGACAGAGGCAGAAGAACATAAAATGCCTGGAAGCTGAGGTTGTACAAATTCTGTCCAAAAGTATGGTTACTCTTTTTTTCTTTTTCTTTTTTTTTTTTTTTTTTTTTAATGGTATAATAGATAAGAGTAAGATAAAAGAGAAACAAGTTCCTGAAGGCTGGAATAAATATTTATTACTTGGAAAATTTTGAAAGAGATCAGATTGTTTTCATACGCCATAGAATTACACAATCGTTTAGAATGAAAGAGAACTTAAGGGTCATTAGTTCCAGGTCCCCTGCCATGGACAGTGACACCTTCCACTAGACCAGGTTGCTTAAAGCCCCCTCCAACATGGCCTTGAACACTGCCAGGGATTGAGAATTGACTTTTTCTTCTCAGAAGGGAGCAGTCCAGGAAATTCTCGAAGACTGTGCTGCCCAGGGAGTCACATGAAATTAATGTGATGACATTATCCATGCTGACAACTGACAAATCTTGAATACACAAGAGTCTTTTTGCTGATCGCATTTCTGAAAGAAGCCAGCCTCTGGCCTGTTGGCAGCCCACCCCCTTGGTCAGGCCAAACCAACAATTTTCCCCCAGCCCTTGGCACGAGCAGCTGCTATGGCATCCAAAAGTGGTGCCCACCACTGCCCTGTGGCTGCTCAAGGCTCGTGTCCAGCAGAAGTTCAGCCAAGTCATGAGAGGCTAAACACAGAGGAAGACCAACCTTGCTCCAAGACTTGAGCAATATTACTGAATTTGTTGCTAGAGAGGGTGGGAAGGCACAGAAACAAGAACAGCTGTGTCTTGCAAGGTCCACATTAATTTTTATGCCACGTGCCTCCTGCTAAATTTTGGCAAAAGGACTTGTTAGCTCCATTTCAGGTCAGGAGGTTGCAACTTTGTGAATGTCGCTGTGCTAGGAAACCTCATATCCCCAGAAAGCAGAATTTCCTCTGTGCAACATACTCTGTGTAATGCTATACTCTGTATTCATCACGCAATGGTATTTCATTGGGATATTTCATGGGTGCCTGTACTACTGGGGAGCTGATAATCTCCTATCATAGCCACTAGTAGCTTTTTTTCTTTTGAAGATTAATGAAAATTACATATCCTGCAGAATCTTACAGTGTAGGGATTTAACGATGGCTGCAAAATTCTGCAGGAACCTGCGTTAGAGTGACCCAGTTGCTTATTTGCTGACAAAAATAGGTCTCTTGCTGCCCCCTTCATTAGAATGTCTGGGCAAAATATCAGTTATCTGACTTGTGCTTAACTGCTCTTACTGCCTTCAGTTCAAGTTTCAGTGTCAGGCTCTGAAGGGTGACAGTGAGGGGTTCTTTCTCTCCAAGTGCAGCCTTGCTCCTGGGACTGCTCACACCAAGCCACATTTCCAGTGTGTTGCCTTTCCCTCTGTGATACTTTTAAGCTTTAAATATGCATTTTAAATAAAAACGTGTGATAATGCACTTTTTAGAGATATCTTTTCAAACTGAAGCTTAACAACTTGGAGAAGCTGATGAAGATCTATTGTTAAACCCTACTGACTTGCATGGTTGTGAGGCTGAAATGCAGTGTCCCGGAAATGAGAACAGAACTGGAAGGAACTTGCACCATTTCTGATGCAAGAGCTTCAGTGTGCCAATCTGCAGTGACTGATAAAAACCTCCTTCATTCCAACCCACTGTAATTCTCAGTGTACTGGAATTAGTTGTTCACATAACTGTGAAATGCAGGATCGAGCAAAAAAGGGCAGTAATGCCACCAACCAGCCAGTTTGAGATATGGCACTTATATTTATACTGATTTTAATAAGATATCTGGAGCCTTAGATGCATTGGGATAGCTAGAGAATAACTTTTCACTGTATGAAGAGACCTTGATTACTGTAAGTGCTCAGAAATATTGCTAAGAAGCAGCACAAAAAAAACCACATACATGCCATATATCCTATATGCTCTTGTAGTGCTTAAAATCCTACCAGGAGCTTTTAGATTTATAAGAATTACTTTTAATCTCTCTTTCACATAGTAGTATATTGAAAATGTATAGCATACTTTTTTAAACTTGCTATTAACTCTGCTCAGGCCAGGCAGGCTGATTTATATTCATCCAGGATGTGCTTTCCCAATGTTTTCTAACAGTCCATTTCATAACACCCAGTGACTACATGTAAGATATGAAATGGCCCTGAGCACCAGGACAGTCCTGCCCATGCTGCCAGGCCTGGCAGGATCTAAGCAGGATTTTCATGGAGTCTGGGTATTCATGGTGTTTAATCCCTTGCTCCGAGAAGCTGTCCATTGAGAAGAAGGCTGTAGTGTGTGCAGAACTCAGCTCTTGGAAACAAACAAAATTTGTAGCTTAGATAGAACAACATATGGTTGTTATCTGGCCCTGGGAAGGACAGATTTGTGTTGAAGATAAACAAATTGATGAATGAATAGCAGAATTCAAACAACATCTCAGATCTTGTCTGTGAAAGCATGCAGATGTTCAGAAGAGAGGAGAAATAACAACACATCACAAAGCCACCACAATCATGTCATTCCTCCAAGGATCATTTCTCCCCACATATTATTGATTCATGTTTTGTCTCAAGGGTATGGTTAGCCACGTCTTAAGGACTAGAGCAGTTTCTCTGCCTGACCTTCTCATCCATTTTTCCCTGGGTGGAGAGTGCTTGGATAAAAGCAGTGGTTACAGCCATTGTACTGTTACAGCACTGTTACCACCTGTGAGATTTCAGGACTATTCCTTGAGCAGGAGCCAGATGGGAAGCCATCCCATTCCTACCTAATCTGAGTCTTTCCGCATCCTTTCTTTTCTAGACTATGTACCAGGAAGATTTCAGGAACATGAATGAAGGGCTCAGGAACAGCAGTGACTCCTCCTCTGCCTTCGTTCACACCAGCACCATGAGTGCCATACTGGTCACCGTCTACTCCGTTGTCTTTGCCGGAGGTGGCATCGGCTCCATCGCCATGTCCTTCGTGCTGCTCAAGATGAACACTCTGTCTGTGACCACCACTGCCATCATCAACCTGGTTGTGGTGCACAGCCTCCTCCTCTTCACGGTGCCCTTCCGCCTCCACTACTATGTCAAAAAGAAGTGGGTGTTTGACATGCCATTTTGCAGGATGGTGAGCGCCATGCTGCACATCCACATGTACCTGACCTTCGTATTTTATGTGATCACGCTGGTGATCCGCTGGCTCATCTTCTTTCAGTGGAAGGACAAGGTGGAGTTCTACAGGAAGCTGCACGCGATTGCAGCAAGCGCTGCCGTTTGGGTCTTCGTCATGGTCTTTGGGGTGCCGCTCTTCTACTTCGAATATGGGCGCTCAGGCTTTTACAGTAATACCACGTGCTTCAAGTTCCACAAAGAACTGCAGCAGGACAGTGTAAAAGCTCTGAACTACACTCTAATTGTAATTGTCACCTGCATTTCTTGTGTCCTCTTGGGTTTGCAGATTTTCATCCTGGTACAAGTGTCGAGAAAATTTTCCACCTCCCTCTGTTCACACCAAGAATTCTGGGCCCAGCTAAAAAATCTGATTTTCATCTGGGTCATCATAATTTGGTTCCTTCCCTATCACCTCTTTAGGGCCTACTACATACAGCATGTGAGTGATGCTGACCAGTTAGAAAGCTACAATGAGGTGTTTTTGAGCTTGACTGCCCTTAGCTGCCTGGACCTACTGTCATTCGTGCTGAGTGGAAGCCGCTTCTTCAAGCAAAATGTGGAGATGCTCCAAAGGAGGCTGCCATGCTGCTAGCATCAGCCTCCTGGAGTGTGTGCAGGACCTGGGAGAGGACACTGATGGCAAACTCCCTGTTCAACAGGTCAGGTTGTGCCCTGGACGCAGTACAACACACTCACACAGGGCTCTGCACATCAGCCTCCTGGAATAATGGAACAAACTGTCTCCAGTGTCTCAGCAGTAAATGGGAAGGTGACCTCAGCAATCTCCTCATGGAGCTACCCAGTGGATGGACCTGGAGAGGAAGGAAGAAAGGTCAGGGGCTCTTCTCTCTTGCTGTTTTTACATCAAGGTTTTTGAAGTCAAAAGCAGTAAGAAGACACTTGAGAATCTGCAACGTAGAAACATGAATGTTAAAACAGTGTTTTATGGACTAAGGTACTGATTTTTGAAACTTAAAGATCTATATAATTTTCCCATACATTTCTTATTTATTCCACATAAGCTCTCATAAAATATCAGGGAAGATATTTTTCTTCCTGAGGTCTGTTTCTTTACTGTAAAGACGAGTGTAACTTTCTAAGTGAACTGAAGTAATTAAACCAGCTATTTAAAACTAAACCATTGACAGAGAGTTATTTCTTGAAATATTTTCTCAAAATCACCTTTTGCAATGGTATCACTGCAGCAGAAAAAGATTTTGTCATCTTTCTCACATTATGAAAATATGTCTAAAACAATTATACATCTTTACTGAACTGGACATTGCAGGATCAAACAAAAGTTTGTATTATTATTCACAGAATCATGCTATTAAAAAAATAATATTTTTCAGTAAGGATAATTTTATTCAGATCATTCAGATGGCAGCTGTTTTCAAAAAGCAAGTATTTTAGGTGTCCAAGGTAGCAATGTTTTGGGTTTTTTTTAAATCTTACATTGATTCTGTGCAGTTATGAAGTTTATAGCTAGTTACTCACAGTATCTTTATCTTGAAATCAATTCTATACATTTTGTACCCGGTACTGGTAGAAGGAATGAAAATGTTACTGCTTGGATTGGAGGGATGGTAAAAGGTAATAGACCTAGTATAGCTAAAAAGCTTACTATATCTCAGTGAGGCACTGTCAGTTTAGTGGAATTAAATTCCACTGAAAAAAGATGAAAAATTCAGTAAAATATTTATGTGAAAGACATTCAGGCTTTCACAGCTCAGCTGCTTTACACATGCACCCCAAAAAAATATAAATCTGTGACTGCTTTAATCCAAGGCATCAATGACTAATGCATCTTTCTTCCTCTTTCTATCTGCATGAGGTCACATTTTTTCATCTAAATTTAGCAGGATAATATTTTAATCATTTAACTAATTAGAGGTTATCAGCTGATCAATTTCCATGACAGTCTCTCCTTGTGATGCTGTCAAAATCCACCTTTTCACACTTGCAAATCTTTTCATTCCTTTCTGCCTCACTTTCAACATCTCTTGCACCAAATAACAATTGGTTGAATTTGTTGTACCTGTGCAATCTCACCACTATGTTCATTGTTTTCAGTCCCACTGATACGGTTACTTTATAGGATCCCATCTCTTCTATAGTCTTCCTTCCCTGTCTTCCTTCCTCTTCAAGGTCCTTTATATCTATCAGGATGTGTGATCATCAAAAGGTATTTCCAGGTCAGAGCATGAGTCAAGCTATTCAACACCAAAGTTGGAAATCACTGAAGTGCAAAGCACAAGTGAGTTGTGGGGCAGCTCTCATGGCTCACCCTTGGCAAACAGCCTGGATCCAATCTGTTCAGAAAGAAATGTGAGAGTTTACAGTGTGTGTGGATCTGAGAATAATCTTTCCACAAAGGCATTTATTCCCAAAGGATCACATTAAAGCAGCAGAGAACTACCATCCGGATTCGACAGTAGTTAGAGAGTCACAGAGACTTTCGCAACATGGAAGGAATCAACTTGAATGTGTAGCTCACTACTGGTTAACTGTGTGTCATTAAGAAAGCAATGAACTGCTCTGATCCAGACAAGTAATTTTCTCCTTGTGGTGGGAGAGGATGGAAATTGGCACAACTATTTTGTTTCCTCCCATTGCAACACGGTTGGTTAAAGAAAATGCCTTGCATGCATTCTGTAGGCACTGCATAGCTTTGTAACACAATATTGTAACATTTTTACCGTAATAAAATAATCAACTAAATGACTATGAGAGGCAAAAGTGAAGTCCCTCTTACAAAAATGCATATAAATAAAAAGTATTTTGTATCTGAGTTTGGAAAGTCTTTCAAAACATGACACATACTTTAACAAACATGTCCATACAGCCCAACTAATCTTGTTCATCCATGTGTTAAAATCACAAGCTCTTTAATTCTTGTAAAAATACACACTTCTACGGTAGCCTACACCAGAGCATCACAAAAAATACTAGAGGCTTTTTTCCCCCAAATAAAAATTGATGCTAATGATGTTAATACTAACTCAGCATGATAATGAGCAAATTAGGTGGTCATAATTCCATGATTTAGGTTGGTGATATTATCCAGCACTGAGTCACGCTTTTTATTGGACTGTCTATGCAAACTTTATGTCTACCACTTGTCTTGCTTTGTGAGAGTCAGTGTCTGGCAGAGAAAGCCTTCCTCTGCCCTGAGAGAATGAAGTCTCTCTTAATTCTGCTAAGAATTGACTACTGTAAAGGAAGGGGAATTTCCACTTACCATCATCTGCTTGGTCAGAGGCACCACAATCCTGGAGACCTTTATTTTGCTGCCTGGATGACAGAGGATAGTTCTGGGCTAGGAAAAACCATAAGCACAAACACAGGATTACAGGAGGACGTAGAGGGGATCGGATCTGAAGAATATGACAAGGAATGAGAAGAGAGCATAATACAACGAGGTAATGTAGATTCCATCTCTGGCCTTCATCTCAGGTTACTTACTGAATCCTTAATGTTGCTAAAAAGTAGCACTCTCACTGATGGGAGCAAACTTGCCCTCAGCCACTCCTTGTTACCACTCGTGCATCTCTCTTTCCATATGACTGCAATTTGCCTGCTGAGTGTCTTTCAACTGCCCCAGTTCTCTCTCTAGTTCACCAGGGAATCACGGAAAATGAAGTCAAGGCAAGGACAAATACAGCAAGACTGCTTTTTGCCGCAATCCTGATTTGAGGCTTTTATCAGACTCTAATCCTACTTGTCTAATTCTCCTTAGGATGCACATCTTTTCTTTCCAGGCAGTTTTCCACGGGCTGTATCACCTGATATTTCCATTTCCTTGCATTCCAAATAACCAGAGTGCCTTAGACTAAAAGCAGTGGTTGAGGAAGAAGGTACCTCCACAGCTGCAGGCCAAGAAAGAGGTTTCGGGGGTTTGAGTTACTCGATGCATTCTCCAAGGGATAGAGAGAAATGGGCATGACAGCCCCTGAAGGCAGCAGAGGCAGCAGTTCCTGAATAAAAGCCTCAACAGAATGGCAAGATTGGAGATTTCTGACCCATAAAGTCACTCATTTCTGCTGTTTTCAGAGAAACAGGATTTTGCATTTTCCCTGTAAGTAAACCCTGTGGCTAGGACTTGATTGGAAGCAAGGGCTGGTTTCAAAAGTCAAGGGGTCATTAATAAAATGACAGCTTGACTTCCCAGACAGAAATTTCAGAAAATCGAACTAAACTTTCTGGCACTCAGTGAAGTAATTTTCCCCACTTGCAAACAGCTGCTCAGTTGACCTTTTTTTTTTGCTGAACAGAGAAAAGAACAATAAAGATAAGTGTCCATTCCCTGGAGGTTAACTATAGATAATATATAGTCCTCTCTTGTCTGGTGAGGCAGCAGACAGGGCAGCTGGCTGCTTTTACCCTCAACCAGTAATTTCCCTCTTTCCTAGTAACGCTTCTAGTTTGGGAATGCCAGGTTGGTTTTGCTCATCAGCTCTGGCAGCTGTGCCCTCAAGGAATTGTATGTCATGCACACGTGGCTGGGACTCAGAGCCACAAGTCAAAAACTGGGTAAGGCTGGAAAGGACAAGTGGGCATCTGGTCCAACTCCCTGCTCAAGCAGAGTTGTCCTAGGGGTTATTGAGCATAGGATGGCACCCAGATGGTTTTTGATATCTCCAGTGAGGGAGACTACGCAACCTCAATGGACAAGCTGTTCCAGTGCACGGTCACTGCACAGTAAATAAGTCCCTCCCCAGAGGACACTTTCTGTGGGTCAGTTTCAGCCCATTGTCTCACATCCCAGTGCTCGACACCACTGAGAAGAACCAGGAAACATCCTCCTGGCACCCCCCCTTCAGATACTAATAGACATTGATGAGAGCTCCTTTCAGTCACTTCTCAGGCTCAACAGGCCCAGCTCTTCCAGCCTGTCCTCATAAGAGAGAGGCTCCAGTACAGGAGTAGAGGTGCTCATCTTCATAGCGCCTCACTAGATCTGCTCCATGTCTCTCTTGTTCTGAGGAGCCCAGAACTGGACACAGCACTCCAGATGTGGGCTCACCAGGGCTGAGCAGAGGATCAAGATCACCTCCCTTGTCCTGCTGACAAAGCTCTTCCTAATGTATCTCAGGACATCACTGGCCTTCAGGGCCACAAGGGCACTGCTGGCTCATGGAGACCCAGGACCTCCAGGTCCTTCTCCGCACAGCAGCTTTCCATCAGGCTGACACCCAGCCTGTGCTGGTGTAGGGGGTTATTCCTCCCCAGGTGCAGGATCCTGTGTTTGCCTTTCTTGAACTTCTGACACATGGGCTCACCTAGCTCTGGTCTTGCTGATGGATACGGTGCTGGTCCCACAGCTGGGAAGGGTAGCACAGGATCGGCTGTGGGATCAGGTGTCAAACCTACAGGCAACCCCACCCACAGGAGGGTCATAGTCAGGAAGGGACACCGGTCCAATGCCAACAGAGGCAAGACAGATGTCAGCAGAGAAATTTAATGGCATCCCCAAATGCTCTGTTTGAACCTGCAAGAAGCAAGACCCTGACTTGTGCTTGACAAGGGAAAAACTCATGGAAAAATGCTCACAGACTCTCCTCTGCTTTAGAGGTCTGCAGCATGGTGAAACACAACAACCAGCCAATGGCTGAGGGGCGAGGCATACACTGCCAGAGTGGTGGCACCATGATCTCCAACAGTGATATAAGAACATATAAGAATTGCACATAGGACTTTGTCTTCCCTGCACTTTTCCTCAGTGGAGCAAGACCTCACAGAGACTTCAGTAATAAGATAGCTACAAAAATGGGAGAGAAAATAAGAAAGGACAGACTGTATCTACATTAATGGTTAAGCATGTAATGGATAACTGTCAGGCATACCCTTGCAAAGGAGAAGTCTCACCTGTCTGGAGACTGCATGGAGAGAAACACAAATGGGTGCAAATTCCACATACATGGAGACAGACTGCAGACATGCAGTCCCTGCCTTCTGCTACAGAAGGAGCAGCTGATGAGAATCCTCTCAATATGTGAAATGTGTCCATATACTAGAAACAGTATCATGAAGTTTCACACAGTCAAAAGCAGTTAATTTATTAGTTAAAGCAGTTAATTTATTAGTTAAATTCATGTTGTAAGAATAAAACTGTCTCTACAGTGAAGTGGCCTTCAGAAGCTTAAACCTACACAGCAGATGATCTCTATATAATATGATGAATCTGTGAAAGTGGCTATTGAAAAAAAAAAAAAAGATTGCCAATTTGCTGCTCTTTCATGAAATTATGGTTTTGGCCACATAATATGACTGGGTTTAAGTATTTCAGAAAATAATGGCCGTTTTACTACACCATTGGACTACTACTCCTTTACTTGTTCATCACCTGAAATACCTAATGGTTTCCAGCATTTCACAAAATATCACCTTTTATCACTATTTTTCTA